CAAAAAAAATAACGGAAAATATTGGACAATCGGTCGATCCCTAGTTTTGATGGTGTCTTACGTGGCAACGCTTCCTCACATTTTACATTTGTTACACGTATTGAACTAAAGTTTGGCTTTGAATTATACAAAAAAATTAACTGCAGTTGCTATATGTCATTAAAAAAAATCACAATTAGATATTTCCCCCAGAGCGTTCAGCCATAATGTGTAGTGAGCAGTTTTCTTTGGAATGCATGCTCTATCATGTTTGAATATGTCATTTCTAGACAAAAGCACATTTCTGTAATATTTCTGATCTTGTGGGGGTTTGTGAGAGAACTCAAGCTACAGAGCTACACACAAAGTTGCCTAATTTCTGTATCAGAAGTCAACGTGTTTGCATCTAACTTTAAATGCTTGTGTTTGCAGTGGTTCTTCCTCCAGAGAAGGCTGAGGGATGTGAAAGCTACCTGCAGTACCTGCACTCGGAGGACGGGGAGAGGGAGGCGCTCAGAGATGCAACCAAACCTTTGGGGAAGAAACGCATCAGCCTGGATGTACGTAGTTATACGCTTTGGCTACAACTTCACGACAACTCAGAAGTTTAGTGCAGGAGCTGTGTGCAGCAGAGTGGCAGCATGGGGTCATAGCTCATGTCTACAAATCCCCTCAGTGTTGGAATTTGTTATAAATACTTGTTATTGCAAATCATTTACAACTCAGTTGGATTTGGAATTGTTAACGGAGGGATTAGAGCTAATTGAAATTCTGGTTTCAGGTGAAGCAAAATGCAATTAAAGACAATAAACTCCAACTTCATGTAGCAGGATTGAAAGCCTCTTCTAAGCCAAGAACCAGGAGTGTTGAAACTGTTTAGTGTTCCAGTGAGTGAAAGTTATTCAAACACAGGTCTGAAAGTAAATGGATGGAGAGCAACCTCTATCCAAGCCTCCACATCCAGCGGCACAAGAACATCTGTCTGCATGTTGACTCCGCTCCAGACCATATCCTGATTGAATTTAGGGACCAATAAATAGAATAAATAGATTGTAATGTTTAGACTCGCGCGTTTTAAAGAACTGCTCAGATGTGCCCTTTGGTGATCGCTGCCGGTTATGTGAGCTCAGGAGATATTATAAGACCATAAAGGGCTCCGTCCCTCCCCGGAGTCGCCCACCATCCCTCTTGTAAATGCACTCTCTCTCTCTCGCACAGTGTCAGCTCTGCAGCCGGCCTGCAGCTGGCTCCGCAGTGTGTTCCAGATGTTTATTTTTCCAATTATGGCCATGTTACAAGATACATCTGAATTAAAGTTACTGCCAGAAAGTTGTAACTGAGAATAGCGGTTACACGAGGTACAGGGATTCTACAAAGTAGAGAGACGAGGTCAGAGTGGAACGACTCACCACCTTTTTCTCTTTGCCCCCAAACATGCATGTTTTCTGGTATCACGATGAGAAAAGTGTAACGTAGGGTGAAATTAGTTGTGCTCTGCTGCCCTCTGCTGCCTTCTGTGTAGCTCTGGAAATATCATCCCAGACAACGTTTAGCAAGTTGTGGACTTAGTCAAGCTGTCAGATCTTATCGCTTGAGTCAGAATGATCTCAACTTTGATATTAAACCTGAATTGGCAAAGAGCAGATGTGTTACAGCGATATCCATATTTTCTGTATTGTTTTTTAGCCTTAAATGTAACTTTTTTTGAACTTTTTTTTGGACTTTATAAATTTAATCAGATATTAAAGCAACATTTTAATCATTCCTGTATTTTTTTTTTTTTTTAAAAACATGCATCTGTGTTTTCCTTTTGGCTTAATACAGAAGTCTTATTACTGTACTAATAATTGAAAAAACAAAAATGCAGATTTAACCATCCATACTGTTTCTGTGCATTGAAGAAGTTCACATTTGTGTTCTCAGGACCTGGAGTGTGACATTTCTGTGGAGGATGACAACCGTCAGGAGTGGATCTTCACTCTTTACGACTTCGACAACAGCGGGAAAGTTACTAAAGAGGTGTGTGTGTGTGTGCTGCCTCTACATATAGTCTGTCCTTTTTACATGTTAATTTGTCAAAAGTAGGACTGTAAATTGGACTAAGTGTGTTTTCTGTGACTACAGGACATGTCGAGTTTGATGCACACCATCTATGATGTGGTGGACGCCTCAGTGAATCACTCCTGCCACAACAAGAGCAAGACTCTGCGGGTCAAACTGACCGTCACTCCAGAGCCGAGGAGCCACCGAAGAGAAACAGGAGCAGGTAAATGAAAGTCAAAGCAGCATTGTTGCTCAGACGAGACTCACTGTCGCCACGATGCTGTGACTGAGCAGCATCTTTGCAAACTTTCACTTCTACAATGTTTTTTTGTTTTTTAAATTATTCACAGCCATGCCAAAATGTAATTTATATTGAATTCTTATTTGACCAATAGGTTTCTTCTGGCTGGAAATGACAAAAACAAGTGACAAATCACAGCAAGACGTTGTGCTAGACATGTAAAGGGTACATTTTAGACATTTTTATGGGTTTCTCTTTAAATTTTAAAAAACAGTGTTCCTTGAAATTATCTCAAATGTTTGAAAAAATGCACCTTCTGTACAACAAGACAATGATGTGAAACATGCAGCCAAAGTGGTAAAGAAATGGTGAAGAGAAAACAATGAGAAGATGTTGGAGCGGCCCAGCCAGAGTCCAGACCTGAATCCATCCAGAACCTGTGGAGGAACTGAAGAGCAGAGTGATGGAGAGGAAGCCTTCAAGCTCAAAGAGCTGCAGATGGACACTTGGAGGAACAAAATCCCAGAGGACACATGCGGGAAGACTGTTAGCAGTTGGCACTTTTAGTAAAAAATCCCTAAAAAAAATAATTAAAATTCATAACAAACACCTCTAACGCAATGTCTTTTTTCACTTTTTTATATCATTTCTGGTTGGAAAAACCTATTGGTCAAATACAAATCCTCTATAAATTTAAATTTGATGTGGGTATGAAATATTTGTCACCTAACTGTATGTATACTAGCAAATTTAGCACACAGTGAAGGTGCAGGAGGATCATATGGAAACAGTCTCAGTATGAATGTTGCTGAGCATCTTTCCCAGCCTGAACTCTTGTTCTTGTCCTCTTCAGAGCGCTCTCACCAGGAGGAGGGTCGATCAGCTGACAAGCGACTGTCCTCATACATCAGGTCAGAACCTGCCACAGACTCTTGAAAGCATACATTGCACTAAATGTAGCATATAAATATGTACATTATTCCTGCTGATTTTCATTTTACTCATTTACAGCAGCAAAGGGCAGAGCAGTGAGCCAGCAGCCGCTGAGGGCCAACATTACTGTGTGGACGAGAACACGGAGAGGAGGAATCACTACCTGGACCTGGCTGGTATCGAGAACTACACCTCCAGATTTGAAGGTTTTTATTATTTAAAAAAATGTCCAAATTCTTCTTCTTATATTATAATGGGAGGCTGCAGGTTGAGAGACACAGAAGACAAACTCTCAACATTTTAAGTAGAGCTAAAAAAACAAAAAATAGTGACAGATATTGCAACATGAGTCATGGTTTTAGTGTTAATGATCATTTTTGCATTTATTTTCCAAACAAGCTAGTTAATGATGATGGGATGTTCCTTTATGTCTGGATAATATGATTTGTAGGCTTGTGTATCATTTATAAAGATATTCTGTGACACATTTTACCTTTATTGAAAAATTGCAGCTTTTGTGATGTGGATTTTGCACAATTTTTGGCCACATTGCGATTTTAATAATAGTTTACGTAGCTTCTCCACAACCAACCACACCAGTGTGAAGGACTTATCCCACTGAGGGGAGATTCTCACACTCGTCCAGGATCTTTTTTTAAAAAAATCTTTCAGATATACAATCAAACTGTTTACTTTTCACCTTGTCTATATACTTTTTTTTTCACTATTTGACACTTTGATTTATTTATTTTGCTTATTTCTATCTATCTATATCTATCTATTTGCTTGTAGTCATTTCTTGTGTGTTTTTATTCTTTATTCTTATTCTCTTTATTGTTGTTTTGGTCTGGAACAGGTGCTAAATATATTTCACTGCGTGTTATACTGTGTGTAATTGTGACGAATAAAGGTCTTGAATCTTATATACTGAGATTTAGGAGAAGGCAGATAATATATGAGTAATTTTTCAGGCCTAATCGTCAGTTTCCCCTGTCTCGTCCCTCAGGAACCACCCCCGTCTTTCCCCCTCAGGAGCCTCACGGTCGGAGCTCGCAGAGCCAGAGCCGCTCCCGCTCCCACGAACCCGAAGCCCAAGTCGTTCACCATCGCCGCTCGCAGGTCATTGGCGACAGCTACAACGCCTCAGAGCCTCGAAGTAAGGGCACGCAGTTCCTCAAATCCCCCAAAGGAGCCTACAAAGGGAACGGAGGCAACAGCGGGGGTGGCGGAGGCGGCAAATCCACTAAATGCCACGGCTACCACCCTCCTCTGCAAACCGTGCTGCACAGTGGCAGCGCTGCGGCCCACGGAGGGCAGGATGTGTACCACTTGCCGCACCAAGCCCAGCCCTCGTCCAACCACCACCAGCACCCGCTGCAGTACAGTCACAGTAAACGCCTGAGGGCCAAAACCAGAGAGGCCCTGTCCCCGTCCAAAACCCCCCTGCAGCCTCAGTCCCANTTTCTTTCTTTTTTCTTTTTTCTAGTGTGTGCATTTGATGATTAAAGACTGCTTCTTGTTTGGGGCCCAAGAAACGGTGCCGGTTGTCTCCACCTCTCCCAGAAGCCTTCCAACCCACCTCCATCTCTCCCAGAAACCGCCAACAAGATAGGGCCTATCTCTCGAGCAGCATCCTCCTCGGCCTCCACGCTTATCTGCTGCTCTCTTCTCCCCATCTTTGTTTGCCCTCTTTCCTGCCTCCATCCACTCCTCTGCTCGCCTCAAGGCCCGTTCTTGACTCTCGATGTCTCCGGTGGCCAATTTGCAAAGGGGAGGTGGAGGGCGGTGGGGGGCGTCCAAGCCTTGACCCTGAGACTCAACGGGGCCTTTCCCCTCCTCCTCCTCCACCTCCTAAGCGGTGAAGGTCAGGACCAGATTACAGGCTGGAGGTATCATCCTCTGAAGTGAGGAATAATCAGGGGGCTTTGAGATTGTTAAATAGAACCGCAGGCCCTGGCGCTGTGATTACTCTCAGAAAGAAAAAGGGGGTAGAAAGGGGGTGGGGGGGGGCTCGTTCACCTAAACGCATGCAGATGTTCGGACTCTCGCTTGAGCCTCGGCTCTGTTGAAGGTACATGGAGTTCTTTTGTTTTCTCGCATCTATCTGTTTTTTATTTGTCTCGTTTCAGTGGGCCTCCTTGATTCAATCTTGGTGAGATTTTATTTCAAAGTGTGTGTGGAGCAGCTTAGAGGGCCGAGAATGACGTAAATAAGATGAATCATTTGTTGTTTAAATAGTTGTGGTTTAGGGCCTGTGCTGCACTTAATTTTCATTGTTTCCACAATCCAGTCGTAATTAAAGAATGGGGCTGTGTGTGTTTGCCTTCAGTGTGCCTCCACATGTGTGCGACGGTTACGAACACACTGTGGTTCTGTTTCATGCTGGATATAGAGTAGATTATTGACAGCCGAGCTTTTTTCCTTTCCATCCCTTTGTCATGCTTTTTTTTTTTTT